CACCCTTTCTCTCTAACACAATATTCCCGTGTCGTCCAGCTCGACGCCGACAAGCTCGTTCGCCAGAACATTGACGACCTCATGACTCTGCCTCTCGATCCTCCCGAGATCGCCGCCCAGGGCAACACCGTCACGGCCCCAAGCACCAGAGTCTTCGCCGCCGGTCACGCCTGCGTCTGCAACCCGCTCAAGAAGCCGCACTATCCCAAGGACTGGATCCCCTCCCACTGCGCCTTCACCACCCAGCACGGCGCCCGCGCCGAGGCCCAAACCGTCGCGCCCCCCCCCCGACGCCAGCCCCCTTGGTTACATGAATGGCGGCCTCCAGGTCGTCAATCCGAGTAACGACATTTATGCCCAAATTGTCGCCTACATGGATACCGACGCCGCGAACATGGACTTTGCCGACCAGAGTTTGCTCAGCGACCTCTTCCGCGGCCGCTGGGTGTCGCTACCCTATGTCTACAACGCCCTCAAGACGTTGCGTTGGCCTGGCGTTCACGACGCCATATGGAGCGACGACGACGTCAAGGTTGTCCACTATATCCTCGCCCCCAAGCCCTGGGATGAGCGGGCACAAGACGGTACCTGGACCAACGCGGGCAGGCCCGAAGACCAGGAGACGCACCAGTGGTGGAGCAACGCTGACGGCGAGAGGAGGAGGCAAGAAAAGGCCAACGGCATTGACGACGGCTTCTGACAGACGTAGCCGAATTGATATAAATGAGGACCGCAAGAAGAAAGCATCGCCGCCTCGGCGCGTATGCAGAAAATCCGATGCCCAGCGGGCAATTCTGTGGAACCCGCATGCCGCATGCCACGATATTCAGGGTTGGCAAAGCGGGACGAAATGCTGTATGATGATGAATCATGATGGAGGATATCGGATGGCAGCCGTTCAGAAGCGTTACATGGCATTATATTGATTCTGCAATCCGCGGCTGAAATATCCTGGGGACAAGAATCACACTCTGCCTGCAGCCGATGTTGCCTACCAAGATTGCTGTGCACACGCGCCCCCCCCCTGTACAATACCGATCCACTACTCCCTCCGATCTCGAACCTTGTCGTCCTCGCAGTTCAGACGCTGCTAACCAACCAAGTTTCCTCAGGAGCAAGGCCAGAGCTGAAATCCTTGGCGATGACCGGTTGGCAGGAAATGCTACCTTCATGCTTCCTCACCGGTCACCTCGCGATATGCCTCTTCGGTCCCGACCACCACAGTCTTCATCGATCGTGCTGCAAGGACATGGACGTGTCATAGACGCTACCCATCGGTGCACCCCTGATACCAACACGAGCGCGGAAACCGTCCACTCAGCGCGGAACGCGCGACAAACATTGCACAACGCTGGACCCTGGCCTCGTTATCCCACTCCGCTTCAGCCGCGCCCGGCATACTCTTCTCAGCATCCTGATCTGTATCACCAACACCCCCAGCCGCATGTCCCGACGGCGACGACCCAGGTCCACACAGTCCCGTGAATTCCGGGCCGCAAGCCTTTCGGACCCCTTCTCGCCCCCTCCTTCGTGATCTTCCCCCACCCCCCGGCGCGCCTGGTCTCACAGAGAGGGTCACCGTCTGTGGACCGCAACCACTGGGCCGG